AAAAGCTCAGAAAATGGCAAAAAGGAGGTTGCAGCCCATTGCTCGTATAATGTGTTTATTTTTCAAAAGCGGTCAATCTCAGGCCTTTGATGATGTTCCCAAAGATGAAAAAGCAAACTAATGAGCTCGGGACTAAAATGGAGCTAAATAGGGCTTAAAGGAAATTTCCAACTCTGGGAGGATCGATCCCCCAGGGTGGGGGATCGATCCCCCAGGACTTGGCAATATTACAGATTTTTTTTATTGCTTGGGCTTATTTTATGAACTATTGGGCTTTAATAGGGTTGTTACTTAAGGCCCAGTGAGCCATTAGATTAGGGTTAATATTTATTTTATTTAGGTGAATATTATTATTGGATTAAGTTTTTTTAGTATTCTGTATCGATATTTTTATTCTCTCTGGAAAACACGAAGAAGAAAAAGTTAGGGTTCTTGAGAAAAGCTCAGAGAAGAAGAAGAGGAGCCAAATAAATCAAAGGATGTGGCTTGTTAACATCTTGCATCCATCAACCATGAGTGGCTGATTCTTCAACTTAGGGTTGGATAAACCCTAAACATGTAACCTAATTCTTAACTCTTGACTTTTAGGGATTAATTTGTGTAATTTATGTTATAGCCTTGATATATATATATTAATTCTTTCATTTGATTGTCTATGTCAATTTCATATTGTCTTATATATTTTTGAATGATAATCAATTTCTACACTTGATTTCTTTGTGACTTGAATCTTGTGATGGCTATACATTGTATTAATTAGATGTAATTGTGTTTTGATTTGATGGAAATTGCTTTTATTAGACGGGTTGTACTACAAAATTAGGTTAATGTCTTGTCTACATAGTTTAATTTCAGGCTTGTTAGTTTAATTTAAAGTTAATTAATTTAATTACAATTTAATTCCTAGGTAAGTAGACAATCCATACTAGTGCTTGAAATCCATACTTATTGTCACAATTGCATTACCCTCTAGATTAATGTGTGTTGAAATTGTAACTTAAATTGATGAATCATGCTTTGAATTGGTGAATTACACTACACTTAATTTAATTGTCATTAGGTAGTTGATTCATGCTTGAAATTGATGGTTTATACTTTTTATTACAATTGTTAGCCACATTCTAGATTACACATTTTTATTCCCCAATTAGTTAAAAGTTAATGAGTTAGGAAATGTGCTTAGTGGTGAATCCTACACCCTAAGTCTCTTTCCAATCTTTTATACTCTACTCTTTATTTGCATTATTAAGTTTAAAATTAGTCTAATCACAAAACCAAACCTTTTTAGCAATCACATAAGCACTAAAGTAGAATTCAATTCTGAAAAACCTATAATTGTTTAGATCTCTTGGGACGATCTCTGCTCACTTCATACTCCATCGTATAAGTGTTTAGTGGTTTTATAAATTTTAAAATATGGTACCCACTTGACATTATTTCTAAACCTAAAGTGTTGTGCGTTATTTTGTGCACATGCTCGATCGCACCAGTTTTTTTTTAATTTAAAAGGTGAAACCCTTTAGAAAAACTAAAAAATGGTTTTTTTTTTTTTTTTAATTTAAAAGGTGTAACCCTTTAGAAAAACTAAAAAATGGTTTTTTTTTTTTTTTTTTTTTTTTTTTTTTTTTTTTTTTTTAATTCAAAAAACCAACAACCCAAAAAAAACCCACCCATTTGTGAAACCCATTTAAATAAGCCCAACCCAAAAATAGGCTCAATCTAAAATTCCATTTAATAAAAGGAATAATCCAGACTTTACAATTAGGCCCAAGCTCAAGCCCAAACCCAAATCCAAGCCCAAGCTTGACTTATTTAAACTTCAATTGGTTTCAACATTTTTTCCATTTAGGCTTTTCAAACACCTCACTTTGGATCTAATTTCTCATTCACCCAGAAATGGATTTGAGAAAGTAAATATACCACGTTCATCTCCTTGCGGAGAGTAACGCGTTGGTTTATAGATCCACAAAAAATTCTTAGCGGAATCTATTCCAAATTTCATCCAAAGTTTTTGTTTTGTATACCTTGTTTCCAACAAAAGGTGCCGGAATGCACAGAGACGGTTTGCCGCTGCTGAAATCATTGGCAATAACGAGGACCTGGTGGTGGAGATCCTTGTGCTTCTGCCGCTGAAATCTATGGTTCGATTCAAGTCCATCTCGAAAACGTGGAACAGTCCTACAAGTCCAGTTCCCTCTTGAAACAACAATGGAGTTGCCATACACAGTGGTTGTGAGGTTTTTGTCGCCTGGGCAGTGGTTGTTAGGCACAGTGACGGTGGTGGGTTATGTGATGGGAACCAAACATAGATGCAATCAGTAAAGGATAATATTGTAATTTTAAACATATAATTTTTTGGTTTTTTAAATAAAAGGGAATATAATAAGGGTAATTTAGTTATTTCACATACCCTTAACGGCCCATTACCAGAGTTGGGGTAAAATGATAACGTTGCTATATTGTTGGGGGTTTATAAAATTGGTTGGGGTTTTATGATCATTTTTTGATAGTTTTAGGGGTTTTGAAAAATTTGCCTTTTTATATAACATTATGTATAAGATTTGACTTTCTTTGAGTGCAAACAATTCATTGGGAAATTGCCAGCACTCAACTTGTATGAATGTGCGCTTTGCACAATATCTTGAAAATTTAATAAGGTACAGGTGTGGTTCAATTTGAAATTGTTTAAGAAGGAATTAGAACACGCGGAGTGAAAGGGAAGATCCAAATAAATAAAATAAAAAAATTTCATAGTTGGATTGAAAGAGTAGTGATGGGAGGGGTGTGGGTGTTGAGGAAGAGAGTTGAGTTTATTAAGAAGATGAAGTATCCATTGTTAGTAGAAAAAATTGTATGGTATTAAAATTGTTTTGGGTTTTATGGACTTTTTTGTAATTTCAATTTTAGAGAATACTTTTTAATTTTTATAAAGTTTGTTTGATTACTGCTGGGGCAAAATAAAAATGAGCTGAAGGCTAGAGGGGTGAAGTGGATTGAAAGTACACCAGAAGCATTATATGGAAACAAAGGTTAGATTGCACCATGGAATCAACCGTTGCCAAATAAACCAGAGCTATATATTTGGATAATTTACATAAATTTGCCGCAAAGAAGTTCAGTAATTTAGCTGTTAATACACATTGATATGAAGTGTTCAGAAATTGAGTATCATCTTCCCGTTAACATCCAAATTTCTTTTATTATATATTAATCCAGCCTCATATTAAGTTTCAATTATATTTGAGCTAATAATAGTGAAAACTTTGATAAGCAGTTCTCACACAATATATTGGAAAAAGAAAGATTAAAAAAAATCCATTGTATAGAAATAATTTAAGGTGATGTTTTCAAGTTTTCTAAGTCTTTAAGTCTCAAGTCTATATATGGTTGTATAAATAATTGTTTTATATAAATAATTTTGGCACTAAAATGTCATTTCAAGGCTGTTCAAAGTCAGAGTCTTTTACATTATATAGTTCTTTGCATCATGGTGGGTCCTCCAGTGTATTCATTTATGAGTTTGTTTGGAATTATTATTTGCCGGCTAATACATTGATTTTGATTAGACTACTACCCCTTCCTTTCCATTCTAAAAATATTTATACTATTTTTTTTTAATAATATTTTCACATTATTCTTTTGATATTGACTTAATTAAATAATTACACTAATTACGAAATACTTCTTTTATCTTTTACAGTAATAAAAACAAATTTTAAAAGTTACTCTTATTAATATAATAAAAATATTAAAAACTCACTACAATAAAAAATAAATAAATAAAAAAAGCGATTTGGTCTTGTTGTTAGAATTTTAAAATAAAAATAAAAAGTTTTTGTCACTAGAGAAGTCAAAAAATTATTGTTGGTAATTGGTGACATATTATAATACTCTCCCTATTCCCAAAAAAAATTTTAAAAAATAAAAAAATTTGTCCATCTTTTTATTTTTGGATGTCCCAAAATAAATGTCTTGTTTGTAAACACTATTACTAATTTTACAATAAAATCATTTAATATAATATTATTATATTATATTTGATAATAGCAACTTTATAAAAAAATTACTAAAATTGGCTTTATAAAAATAAAAAGAAGAAAAAAAATTTAAGAAAAAATAGTTACCTAAAATATACCACCTCTACACAAATCATGTTTTATATTCAAAAGTCCTTCAGAGTAAAAATTGATAACCATTGAAAGAACTTTATTGGTTACCAAACACAATAAGGTTATATTTGGCAGGTATGAAATTGAAGTTTTAAAATTAAAGAAAAATAATTAAAAATAATTAAATCAAATTTTTGTTTTTAGTTCTACTAATTTTTTCAATTCAAAGACACCAAGTATACGCCGCCAACATGCTAAAGACAATTTTTAAAAATAAAAACCTTTTGTAGTTAAAAAATTAATCTCAGATCAATTCAAAGTTAGATTCTCCGAACACCCATAAATTTGAAACACAGGGAGTAATATAGAGTAGGTGATGCTGGGTCAATGCTCATCTCTTAAAGTAGCTGGAAATCACTTTCCAATTCCCAATCAGAGCTTGACCCCACTGGTGAATAAACCAAACTCAAAATATGATTATCACTTTCCATAAATTAGCAGATCCAATGCCCAAACTCAATCATTGATACTGCTCTAGTGCTCTCTAATCTTCATCCACATCTCTTGTAGGAGGCGAATCAAACAGACCCTTAGCTGCCCAGCATCGTTACCAGTTGATCTAGCGGAAAGGACAGAGTACACCTGTATCTCAAACGGAGTTTGAATAATTAGTAGGTCCATTTTTTATCACATTTTTCTTATTTTTCACGTTTTTATTTATGAAAAGACTTGAATAATCTTGTAATATATGAATCTTAAGATGTTGCAGACTGCAGGATCTCTTTTTTCTCTTTAGTTGGCTTTTACTAACTTTTCTTTCTTGACTAATTCTTTGAACAAATTCTGTCTCTCTCCATTGAGTTGCTTTAGGTGATAAATATGGACCACAAAATGGCGGTTGATATTGTCCGGTTCACAGTGTCTTCATTTGTTTTAATTATGTGCCTGTTGAAGCTTACAACAAATTATGCAGAAGGATTTAAGGAGCACTCACGAGCTCAGTACTATATTTTTATCATCGGCATTTACATTTGGGAGGCCATTCTTGTTATAATACCTTCTACTAGAATATTCCCAAGAAAACGAAGGCATCTCACAGCTTCAGGAGGCGAATACGACGTCTTCTTGAGTTTCAGAGGTCCCGACATTCGGCTCAACTTCAACGATCACCTATACACCAATCTTGTCAGCGCAGGAGTTCGCACCTATCGTGACAATAACGAGCTTCGCAAAGGAGTAGAGTTCGGCCCTGACCTCCTCAAAGCAATCACAAAGTCCAGAATCTCCATCCCAATATTCACCAAGGGTTATGCTTCCAGTAAATGGTGTCTCCGTGAGCTTGCTCAGATGGTGAAGTGCAAGGGACAATTGATTCTGCCCATCTTCTATGACGTCGAACCATCTGTGGTTCGGCATCAATCTGGGGATAGTGATTCTGGGAGAACTTACGAGCAGGCCTTCCGTGAGCACGAGAACCATTTGGATGGAAAAACTGTTAAAGAATGGAGGGAGGCAATGAGAGAGGTTGGAACACTCGATGGTTGGGAAGTCAAGAAAAAAGCCGACGGGTATTTTTTTCCTACTAATAAACCCCTTATGTTATAATGCATAGTGTTTGCAATCCAATAAATTATGAACATACGATATTTTCTAGTGATTTAATTAATAGAGCACCTCCAACTATTGTGCCCATATTCAAATATATCCTCCCCCAATTTATCGGAAAAAGAAATTTCCCCAGTGGGAGTGATTACAATTCAATACTATCAAATTTGAGGGACGAACACATAATTGGGGATGCCAATTTAACCCCCAGCGTTCGAAGGGAAAGTAATAAATATATAAATAAGTATTCTTTTACGTAGTATTAGCTTAATTTAATTTTCCCTTTAATTTTCCTTCTTTTTTTTTGGTAATTTTAAATTTACCCATTTTTGGGTTACCATGATTGTTGAGCATTTGTTTATACTTGCTTACCAATAAAAAGTATTTGTTTATAATTATTATTATTATTATTTTTACAAAAATTATCTTAAATTTGTTCAAGATTATGTTGTTTTTCTTGAAAAGTATGCATACCAAGGTGTCCCAAACCAACCCGACTCCAATGTGAGGTGGGGTGGGGTGAGTGGCTTGGAATGAGTTTTCTTTTATTCGTGAGACGGGTTTGGCATAGGAATGCTCTATCTTGAACCCACCCCCCACATCCTTACACAAAACATAAATTATTAAAATTACCATCAAATCCTATTTTTTCAATTAATTAAAATATAAATTATTCTTATAAATTACTTTTAGGACCAATAAGTCCGATTCTAAATCACTAAACAATCTTTCATTAAAATCCTTCCTAAACGTAAAATTTTATAATTATAACTTTATTAAAAAATTAATTTATTATGTAATATTTTTATACATTCATTTTAATTAATTAATGAACTTTACATTAGGAGTTTAAATAATAATTAATTTAATTTAAATTCAATTCAAAAAATTAAGTATAGAAAAATTACAACGACTGTAGTATAGAAAAATTAAGTATTTTATAAAAAGTCAATATCATGTATCTTTAATTTTTTAAAATTCTTTTATATCTAGTAAATTGAATAAAAGCTTGATTTTTAAATTTCATATCAAATTTAACAAATGTATAAATGTAAGATTTAGTGATTTAGAGCTTATATGGAATTTGTTTTTCAAAAGTTAGACTTAATTTATTCTAAAGAAAATTTTAGGGAATAACATCTCCGGAGATAAGGCTGCATATATCTAACCCTTTACAAACCCCATAATAGAGGGAGTATTGTGCATTAATTTGCCTTTTATTATCTTTTAATATAAAAAGTACGACTTGATGATATACTTCACTAATTTTGATTTGGTTGTTTGGTGTGTTTTAAAAGTAATTTTTTAATATAAAAATATATATTAATATAGGAAAGAGAAAAAAATTCGCAAAACTTACTATTATAGCATCCAAACGCCATATAACTTAATAACTTCAATTCAATTCTCGAGTTTGAGAGACCCTTTCTATTAAATTTTCAAATAATTAAAACTAAAATTTACAATTTTTTACCATAAATGGGTGATCAATCTCTTTCTCGTCAATAAGAACCCCTTCTATTAAATCGTCAAATAATTAAAGCTAAGAGTACATATTTTTACCATCAATGAATGACCTTTTTTATCAACAAGAACCCTAATTTATGTAATTCACTAAAAAGGTTTTTTATAATTGTATTTTGATTTGGCATTTTCTGATTGAGGTTAATTTGAAAGAGATTCTCAACAAATATAGAGTAATTGAAAAATATAGAGAATGCATAAGAGAATATATATATATATATATATATATATACTTATACATGTAATAAAAAAGATATTAATAGAGAAAAGAAAATTAGAGATAGAGAAAGAAATCTAGTGTAATAGTTAGTTTTTTCTTTTCTTTCAACAATTAGTTTAGTTTGCTAAAATAGAAAATACAAATGCATACAAAATAAAGTGTAATATGTATTAAAATAGAGGACATTAATGTATTTTTAGTTATCGTCACATCAAATTTAAGATCAAATCTCAAATTTTAATTCGAGATGTGTAGCAGTGTTCATATTTTTTTTTGAGTACCGCTACATATCTCGAATTTTAATTTTGAGGTGTACGTGATTTTGAATCTTACGTGGCGATAATTAAACGACATTAATGTCATCTATTTTAATACATATTAAACTTGATTCTTTTACGCATTTGTTTTTCCTATTTTAGCAAACTAAATGGCAATAGAAGGAAAAGGAAAGAACAAACAACTTGGAAATTAGTTTTCTCTATTAATAATTTGGAAAATGTTATACTTCATGAATTTATATTTGTGATTTTATCTTGAATTAAATAGCTATTTATTTGGCTGTTTTAAAAGTAACTTTTTTAATATAGGAAATATAGAAAGGAAAAAAAAGAAGCAAAACTTATCATTGTAAGATATATCCAAAGCCTAATATAACTTAATAACTTCAATTCTGTCAATATATGTATATCTTCGTTTGGGAGATTATTTCAATTAAATATTTAAATAATTAAAACTTGAAGCTATTATTTTTTTTTACGATGAATGAGTTACCAGTTACCACTTTTCTCGTAAATAAGAAACTGAAGTGCTACACATCTCGAATTAAAATTCAAGATTTGATCTTGAATTGGATAACTAAAAATTAAGACATTAATGTTCTCTATTTTAATATATATTTTACATTTTATTCTTTTATGCATATGTGTTTTTCATTAGCAAACTAAACAAATTGTCAATTGAAGGAAAAATGAAAAATGAACAATTACACTAGGTTTCTTTCTCTATCTCTAATTTGTTTTTCTCTGCTAATATTTTTTTATTACATATATATATATATATATATATATATATATATTCTTCTTCTGCACTCTCTATATTTTTCAAATATTGTATATGTGTTGGATATCTCTTTCAAATTTAACCTTAATTAGAAAATATTAAATCAAAATGCAATTATAAAAAACTTTAAGTGAATTATGTAAATTAGGATTCTTATTCACGGTAATTTAAATTATTTGACGATTTAATAGAAGGAGATTAAAATTGTAACTTACAAAGATAACATAATTGAATTCAAATTATTAAGTTATATGAGGATTTTGGATGTAAGTTTTGTATTTTTTTTTTTTTTTTTTTCATATATTAAGATATTTTTTATATTAAAAATTTTGATTTTAAAGTACACAAAGCAATTAAATAAGTTGACAAATTAATTCAAGATAAAACCAGTGAAGTAAGTTAAAATTTCAATATTAATTAGTAGTTCAAAAGTTAAAATTTCAATAGGTATGAGCACGAAATAAAATGAGAATAACTAAAGTAAAAGACATCAATATTTTAGCTTTTTGATTACTTTAATTTTTTTTTCGGCACTAAGTATTTTTGTGGCTTTTCACCTGGACTTCAATCAGGCATCAAGGACAACTAATAAAGATGATTGTTCAAAGCGTGTTGATGGAGTTAAAGAGGAACGACATGGTTCTATCTAACAACTTGGTTGGAATCGATGAGCATATAAATAATATAACGAGATTATTGGAGGTTGGTTCAAGTGAAAAACGGATTGTTGGTATCCATGGCATAGGCGGTATTGGAAAGACAACAATCGCGAAATGCATCTACAACAAGCTACTCAAGGAATTTGAATGTGGTAGCTTCCTTGCAGATATTTTAGAAACGGCTAAACCACACAAAGGAATTGTTACTTTGCAAAAGCAGCTTCTTGCAGACACTCTTAAATGGTACCCAGACATTGCTGATGCAAATAGTGGAATCAATGCTATTCAAAACCGATTTCTTAGAACGAAAGTTCTCATTGTGCTTGATGATTTGAATGAAAAGTCTCAATTTGATTGGCTTGTGGGAAACCTTAATTGGTTCGGTCCAGGAACTAGGATCATAGTTACAACTAGAGACAAGAAAGTCCTAATTGATCTGGGAGCTAAGCCTTATGAACCCCCAGATATGAACCTTGTGCAATCTGTTGAACTTTTTAGCTTTCATGCTTTCAGAATGAAGTTTCCTCCAATAGGCTATGAGAAGATCTCTAATGGTATTGCATCGACTACAGGAGGGCTTCCTCTAGCTCTGGAGGTTACAGGTTCATTTTTGTTTGGCAAGAACGACATACGAATATGGGAAGATACATTGGATAAGTTGAAGATAATGCCAGACGATAAAGTCCAAAAAGCTTTGAGAATAAGTTATGATGGGTTGAACCGTGAGCAACAAAAAATATTTCTTGATATTGCATGTCTTTTTATTGGAATGGATAAAACCTATCCATTTTACATGTGGGATGATTGTGGCTATTTCCCAAAGAGGGAAATTGATGTTCTCTGTCTCTTGTCTTTGGTAAAAATAGAAAATGATAACTTGTTGAGGATGCATGATCAGCTTAGAGATTTTGGTAGAGAAATGGTCCATCAAGAAGATGACATAAATCCAGGAGGACGTAGCAGGTTGTGGAACCGAGCCGAAGCAAAAGATGTATTTGAGGAAAATAAGGTAACATATGAGTGTTAACTTGTTTAATTAATCAATGTTCATTTCTTAATCCTCTCTCATGTCATATCATAACACGGATAAGTACAGAATGATAACACATCCACAAATGTACGTGGTTTTCATAGTAGCTAGCGTCCACTTGGTTCCGAATGGAGAGCTACTTTGTTGATCAACTTACTTTGAGGGGTCTACACAATTGAAGTAGAATGTTTATTACATAATTCTTGATCCTCGTTCATGTTCATAATGTTAAAAATTAGAATCTTATTCATCATCTTTTAATTATTTAAGTATGGTTGGTTTATAATTTTATTTATATATATATATATATATATTTTTTTTTCAAGAGAGGAAATATACCAAAGCTGATTTTTTAACCCTACAGCGTTTGATCCAACCCGGCCACCTTAATCTAACATAAAGATAATTTGAGCTCAAAACGATACACATTGCCTTTTTTTATTTTTTATTTAGGTAATAAATCCAAATTGTTTTGTAAACCATTAATGCTTATTTATTTGTATGGTTTTTCATTCACAGGGAACTGAAAAAGTTGAAGTGCTAAATCTTCCTTATTGGAGAAAAAAGTCGTCTTCTTGCTTCACACGGAAAACATTCAAGAAACTATCTTATCTTAGGTATCTCCGTGTAGAGGGCGCAGAATTTGTTGGGGATTTTAAGCATTGTCTGTCACGGTTAAGATGGTTTTGTTGGAAACAATGCCCTTCCAATTTTGTAGCAACCAATTTTCATATGAAGAATTTAATCATTCTTGATCTATCATATAGTTTCGGCACACCAGAAGAGTGGAATGGTTGGAGTCAAATCATGGTTTGTGAAATATTTCTACTCTTATCGTTTTCCATTTTATTATATTTGATAGAAATTGATTTATTTTATTTTATGTCTTTTCATCAGATGTCAAATAAATTGAAAGTTTTAAATCTCTCAAATTGTGGGTTGAGAAGGACTCCCGACTTTTCAACCTATACAACTCTAGAGATATTGAATCTTGAAAGGTGTAGAAATTTGGACGAAATTGATCCATCCATTGGGGCTATGAAGAATCTGAAAGTGCTCAATCTTAAATATACAGAGATAAGGAGCTTGCCTGATGGAATATGGGAGTTAGAGAAACTGGAAGTTCTGAATGCCTCATTTTGTCGTAGTTTGGAGGGTGACATTCCTAGATGTATTGGGAGATTATCATATTTGAGAGAATTGAGGCTCTATAATACCAAAATTCAAAGCCTACCAACAAACATTTGCGATCTCCTGTGCCTCCAAACCCTCGACTTAGATAACTGCCATGGTCTCCAAGCACTGCCAGACCCGCCCTCAAGTTTAGAAATTCTGAATGTCACTTCGCTCAGTGACAGAAACTTTAGTGTTATCCCTAATCTTGCAAATCTAGTTAATCTACAGAAACTGGGGTTTTCTTGGCGCATTAGCACCCTACCCAAAGAGATTGACGCCCTTTCTCAGCTCAAGATCCTCACTATACGAGGATGTTCAGATCTTCAATGTATATTAGGTTTGCCTCCCAATCTGGTTGAATTACGTATTGGGTATTGTGAATTATTAGAAAATTCGCCAGATCTGTCAAATTTGAAACTTTTGTTGAAATTGGAGTTTCAGAGATGCTGGAAGCTAACAGAGATTCAAGGGCTTGGAAAACTACAATCATTGACTAGTTTGACAATATATGATTGTAGAAAGCTAGCAGAAATTCAAGGGCTTGGAAAACTACAATCATTGACTAGTTTGACAATATATGGGTGTTGGAAGCTGACAAAGATTCAAGGACTAGGAAATCTAGAATCGCTGTCAAGCTTAAATATATCCGAGTGCTATGAAGTAACTGAACTTAATCTGCTTGAATGTTGGGCATTTGTAGCGATGAGTGTGTACAAAAAATACTTCAAAATTAAACCACATCGGTCCAACTTAAAGAAGTTAAAAAGCTTTGAAGTTTTTAGTTGCAGGAATCTCAACAAGATCCAAGGTCTAGATAGATTGGTATCATTGGAATATTTGAATGTGGGGTATTGCGGATCCATAGTAAGATTACCCAATCTATCAAACTTTAAAATGTTGAGACACTTGGAAATTAGTGGGTGCAGGAATTTACGTGAAATTGAGGGCCTTGAGAACTTGGAAGCGTTGAAGAAAGTGGTCATGTGGAGTTGCTCATCGCTGGAAGAAGTACGGTATCGGCCAGGCACAGATATTCAGTTGCTTTACCAACAGGGAATAGCACAAATAGATGGACGACGTTTGGAGATAATTTCACAGCCAGATGGAGTCATGGTCATGAAATTTCACAGGTTTGTTACACTTTTATATATATAGGCATAACCTTTACTTTTGTCATTTATATCGTCAATCTCTATAATTTGTTTAATGTCAAGTGGGTTTATTAGATTTTGCGTTTTTGTCAAAATAATTAATAGATTTTTCGTACAGCCTTTTTTTATTTAACTTTTTGCAATTTCCTTGAGTTTTCAGGTGATATTAAGCTAAATTGATTTGATTCCTAATTTGTGATTATCTATATACTGAAAGTTAGGCACATTGAGCGCTTATGGAGAACAAAACATGCAATTGAGAAAAAGAAAAAATAATAATAATAATAAATGACTAACTAGAGTCTCCATGTTTGAATTGAAGGAGAAAACAATAAAAATTGGTGCCCTTAGTAACACTTTAATACGCAAATAATGATTTTTCATCCGAATTCTTTAGGGACATGTGCCATTTTCTTTGTGGAAGCCATTAATTTGTATGCTAACTCCTTGAGATATATTTATATATTTATTTATTTATTTATTTATTTATCTTGTTTGCTTTTAAAAGGCAGTTTAATAACATGCTCTATATCACATCATGCTCATATCCAATTTATTGTAGTTTTTAATTATAACGGAGGTTTTAGATTTCATGATGTAGGTGCAAAATTTCGCCCAACCAATAATGATTAAGAGAAATAAAACAACTCACTCAATAAACAATAAAAATAAGCAAGAACAGTATATAGAGAAGCGTGGAATTGCTTGTATGTTTCGATCCTTTTTATTGGAGGTCTTGGCCTCTATTTATACATAACAAGTAGTAGAGTTATGGTAGGACTCGCATTACTTGTCTTTCAATTCTTTCTATGTAGACATTCTTTACAATTATAGTTCTTTCCATTGTTTAATTTTCCATCCACAGAACTTGCTTTGTGTAGAACTTTCTATTGCAGAGTTCTCCTTTTATGGTAAATCCTTCACCAAGTAGGATTCGTTCATTCTTGAATAACTGGGCTGGCTATAACATTAACCGGTTGGGCTTGAATAATGGGCCGGATGTTTAATATTAGCAGATCGGGCTAACACTTTCTTGATTTGGCCCAGATAAAGGTAAGAGAGCAAATAACAGTGATCCTGGGCTAAGAGTACATTCACTTTGGGCTTGAGCATGATGGGCCTTTTGGAAGACAGACTTGTGCCGGTGATGACATGGAGTAATCTTATTGGAGGGGATTTTTTCCCTCCACACTTTGCCCCCAATTCCTTTTTAATTGGATTACGGTTCCTAATTAAAAGGGATTGAAGTTGTGCAGTTGCCACTTTAGCACGAGGCATTTCCATTTGTGTCTATTGTTATTCTGACTCGAGGACTTCTTCAAGACTTGCTTTTATTTTCACTGCGCTCGTTTCGTCCCTTGCGCTTTTCACATTCTCATATCTCCAGGTTAGTTCTTCATCTCCTTCTTCCAATCTTGTATTATGAGTACTTCGACTACTCCTGAACATATAGAAATCACGGATTCTGAGTCCACGCCCTCGTCTTCCCCTAATCTCATTAGGGTTCCTCCTCCTAGGGTTTCGAACTTCCTTAGGTCTGCAAATGACTCGGCTAATCAGCCGAATGTTTCCCCACTCCAGGTTGAGACATCCACCTCTGGGTCGGACAATATTTTTACTAAGGAAGAAAGAGATGCAATTTTATCTGTTCGTCGTATTAAGTTTTCCATTGACTCCGTAATGGAAGATTTTGAGATTCCCGATGGGGTAGAAATTGTAGAATACCCCAAGGGTGCCAATTTTTGTACCGGCGAGGATGTCTGGGAAGACGAGTTGCTCCTCTCTGTTGGGCATCTCAACGCTCTTCGATTCCCCCTTCACCCTTTTTACCATTTAGTTTTTAATAAATTAGGGATTACACCCCTACAAGTAAACCCTAACTTCCTTCGAATAATCTCGGCACTCCTGATTTGCCGATGGCTGGAGAGTCTTGACCTGACTCTGGCTAACTTGCTGAACACTTACACTATTTCCAGGCACGGAACCGAACCTGGTCGCTTCTATTTTAGCTCTCCCTTGCACCAGAGGATATGTACAAACCTCCCTACTTCTGAAAAGAAGTGGAAAGATATGATGGTAATTGTTAAAGGGAGATGGACTGTACCTCAATCGAGCAAACTCCTAATCCCACACAAGTTCGGGAAGTTAGGTATAGAACGTCCCCCCTCTCTTCATAAAGATTGTTCTGGCTGTTTCCCATATCGAGTCTTATTCTTTCGGTATATTTATGAGTTTCTTGGTATTTTTTCAGTGACATTCCCTTCCTCTGCTGCCAAGAAAAAGCTTTCTTTTCTTAAAGAACCTGTTTGGAAAGAGCCTCCTTCTGTTGAGGACTTGCTTACCTCCGCAAACCTTAAAGCAATTGCTTCCAGAGCCGTAGTTGTAGACCTCATGGACCTCTCACTTCCATCTTTTGATAGCTTCCCAATGACTAAGGAAGAAAAACAAAGGGCTAAAGCTTTAAAGAGAAAGGCTGCAGAGAGTGCCCCTTTGACTATATTGCGCTCAACTGAACAAGAGAAGGAGATTGATGAAATTCATCTGCACAAGAAAGCGAGGTTGACTTCTTCTTCAACCATGAAATCCAAGAGTGCTTCCAATCCAAAAAAGTAAAGGAAAGAAGGCTGAAGAGACCGATCCTGAAAATGAGGTCAGAGCTTATGTCCTGGCTGAGACTGGGACACCTTAAACTCCTTCTTTGCTGACAAATCAGTCCTCCATACCATTGATTCTATGATTACCGACCCATCTGCAGCGCTGGCAATTGCTTCGGGAATGTGGCTTCTCAAAGACGAAGAGATTATTGGTAGAATGGGATTAGAACAGCTACTCCCTTCTGTCCCTGTTTGAGCCATAGAGGTTTGCTCCTCCCTTCTTCTTCCATTTTTGTAATCGTCTTACCACTCTGCTTATATTGTTATTGTTACTATCAGATGATGTAGGACCTGTATCATACCATGGCTCTTTATGCTACTGTTAAAGCTCAGTCTCTCTCCCTTCAGAAGCTGGAGAAGGACCTCAGCAATTCTGAAAAGAAGGCATCTCATGCCATTACGAATGCAAAATTTGCATACCAAGCTAGGGATGTTTATAAGAAGCGACTGACTGCTTCTGATACGAAAGTGGAGTTAATGGAGGCTAAGGTTCAACATTTGAACAATGCCCTTAGCACCTGCATCATTGTAGGGAGGCAAATGCAGGGGCATTACTCCAGTTTAGTGTGCTTGTCTAGCGCCAAGGCCTACAGGTCCGGCTTTAATCAAGGTTCAGGCGAGAAAATAACAGATCCCGAGGCCTTTGATGCTCATATTGGAGTGTCTTTCCCCTATGATAAGGGTCCGAAGGCTCAAAAAGTTGAAGTGCTCTTTGCTGAGATGGTGAAGGCTCATCCTAAAGTCCCTCCGGCCCCTCAATTCCTCCAACTTCTGCAATTGCTCCTGGCCCCTCAATTCCTCCAACTTCAAGTCCAGCTGTGGTGGACGCTTTTGAATCTGCTCCGTTTGATCCGAAGAGGAAGTAGGATCATGTGATCCCATTTTTTGTAATGAAATAATTTTTAGAATGATATAATTATATTTCTCAGGCTGTGACGCCTTACTTTTGCTTCGATTGAATTTTCTCGAATGCCTTTAATACTGCACACACTTTGTTGAATGGGAATGTTTTAAGGAAAATACCCTGCCTGAGGGTTCCATATTTGTTATAGTCCGAAGCAAAAATAAATAAGATGTGAAGAAGGGATCTCCTTTGATAGTTCACCTGATATCGGAGGATTGTTTTTCCCTCTAGTGATTTAACCATCAAGGGAACCCTTCTTGAAATGGATTTGTGTGGAGTAGATATATATACTCATTTCTTTTTGTATTTTTTAGATGTGGGATAACCTTGTGGCTCAAACTATTGAGCTTAGAGCCAGTGAGTATGACCTCCACAAGACATTTGTCTCAGGCAATTTAAAGCTTGAGACAATTGGTTCATCGGCATTGAGCCTGAGGAGAAATGTTTTGAATCAGACACTTAGCGTTCGAAGCGAATTACTCTCTGGCGCTGAGCCTGAGGGGAAGTTTGCTGAACCAGACACTTAGGGTCCGTAGCTGTGATACCCCCGAATTTTCGGATGCGGGTTGGCCAGGCCCACGCCCGATTACCCGAGGATATCAAACAAATTAGCAATAATCAAACACAGAATATAATTAAGATAAACATGAGTAAATAAAATTCGCTGGAAAGAAACTAAATGCAAATCCTTTATTGAAAACTTCAGAATAAATCTTATAAATAAGAACTAGTCTGTTACATCCAACTTCTCCAATTATAATACAACTCGGGAATCCATCTGGTGGACCCCTAATCAAAAGCCAATACTAGAAAGCGAACAACTAAAAAGAAGTCCACTGCTAAACCATGAAGAACCCCCTACATCGTCAGTAGAATGAGTAGTCATCTCTGCTCAGCACGAACAAGCTCTAAGACCTGGAACCGTCCGTTACCTGAAAAATAATAGTGGGTCAGGCCCACGAACAAGTTCTATCCTAACTACAATCCAAACAGAGACCCGATACGCAGATACATCCTAGACGTCTCAAACATATCTATATAGTCCGTAATAGATAAATACATATCCACACTACAGGACTCTCACCAACTATGCTGAGGGTCTCAACCTGAATAGAAGGTAACATGCAATACGCACCTGAGTGGGCATGACTACCTAAGCCTAACAGGGTATACCTCAACCAACATAGCTAGCTACGCATCTTACTGCATATACGCACCCTAACCGTCGACTATGAGACTCAAGCTCAAATCGCGGTACCATAATTTATATATATAAATTCCCATCCAAACCAATGTAGTGCCGCTCAACTGATTCGTTGCCATGACATGACATAAAATTAGGATTTATTGTTTTAATTAAACCCCTATCCATTCTAGGTGATACATGCACCCTAACCGTTGACTTTAAGACTAATACTCTTGTCACGGTAACATAATGATATATTTAAAATCCATTCACATTCATCCATAAGAAATTCAGTAAGTCGTTCAGCTTATTCAACTGTACAGACTTAAGTATTTAGGGTGGATTCTGTTTTAATCATCCGAACCCTTATTCCAGTATAGGTAGGACTTCAGCAACTGGTGCTGTCCAAACCTAGTATAA